GGAGCGCGCCAAACTCGTTTTCCATCCAGGCGACAGCAGTTGGAAGCGGTTCTTGAAAGCAATGACACGAATAGCCATTGAGCTGGGAGGGTAAGAGCGACCCCGGTAGCGCAATAGGGAACGCAACCGCACGGAAGGTGAAAATGCGGGTGTCGAATCTCGCCCGTATTCTGACTTTTGCACACAACTCAGCACTCTTGTGATAACTTTCGGATCGCGCACTGCGGCGTCAAAGAGCAATATTCGAATGATAACAGACTGGTACAAACGATATGGCACAGTCTTGTCCTTTGTTCGGGTAACAAGTGTCCGAAAACGGGTTTGGTATTGTGCTAGACCCCTTCCCGATTGCCAAACAAAAAACTGCCCGTTCATCCGCAGCGAAAAATATTACAAGATGTGCCAACTTACTGGGGGTTTACTATTTTAGAGAAACACTGCTGATGAACATAGTCCACCCACGTCCTCTACGAAAAAGCGGGATAAGGTCTCTCTGAAGAAGCAACAGATCCTTAATGGATTTGAAGCGCAGAAACGTAGGCAATCAAAGGTTAGTTAGAGGTTATTAATGGTATCATTGAAGATGTATATATTTTTCGGCCTTCGGATCCGATATAAAGTTTTCTTGAACGTTCTTTTCCAGAAAGATTTGCCAAGTGTCCATCCGACTTTAGTTTTTCATGGTTTGAGCGTTTCAGCGTTCACCTCCGTCAGAAAGCGTCAGCGCGTCTTCTTCAGTCGTAGACATCGTAGAATTGGCCCTTAGCAAACAGCAGGAGATTGAAAATGCTTATTCAATTTCTCGCTCCAAAGTAGAGTTTATTGATAACAGTTCTGAATCTTTTCAGCGGCGGCAGTTCTACCAATTGAACCTATTTCAGCCACAACTTCAGCCGCAGCGTGTACGTACCACAAAGAGAATGCAGCATTCCAAGAAGTCTGTCGTATTATCGTCCGAAAAAGGAATTCTTCTCTTTCGTTACTACGTTTCAGATGTGGATACACCTTCCAATACATCGCCTGTAACTCAAAGCGCTGAATTAGAAGAACAACGGATCCAGCGGATGATTAACTCCAAAATTGTAGGCATTGATTCTTCCAAGAACAATATGAGGCGTTGTGACAATGGGCGGTCCAACTGAGCGAAAATATCGTCCGAAGTTGCTCTTTTGACATGCTCTTAAAGTCCTTGGGGAAAGGGGTTTTATCAAGCAATGGTGGAACGGCAATTATACCATCAGATAGCGCAAAAAATTCTCTTCAGGATGTACTACTGAGACGCAAGGGAGAATGAGTTTTAATCAGCAATGAATGTACAAAAATAGTAACACAAAACGCTGAGAACGTTCCGGACAACCTAATAGAACTTTCGGCACCTGTAGCCCCCTTCTCACTCGCTGTAGGGTCGCGAAAATGAGGCGGTCTCTTAGCTTTGGAGTTATTGACTATTGCACACCAGAAAGACGACCCCACCGATTTTCTCGAGCGGAGAGGTATGCCTCAAGCGACCCGGATGCAGGCGCATGTGTTGGGATGACTAGGATTGACTCGTAGGGGGAAAGGCGCTTGTCACGTGTGCTCAGATACCAATCCTTACTTTATCAGTAAAATGTTTGAGTTCCAAGACGCAGCATGGTCGGCTTGTTACCAGGACCAATTTCTTACAAATCTTTCCAAGAATGTCGTGAAGAGATGTATAGAGAAGCCTTATCTATGTACACTCCTAGACGTCTCTCATTCGATCCAGAAGTAAGAGAAAGCGCTTGAATCAGTTGTGCACAAGACTTTAGCGGTACATTTGTTCTTATAGAGAAATTTTTCAAGGAAATCATAACTTCGGTGAGAACCGTGACCTTAAAAGGTTTCCGAAGAGCATACTGAAACATTTTTGTGCTTTGAATGACCGAACTGACTATGGTGGCATGATTTACTCGGTGATTTCCAAATGGCGAGATGACAATGGAGGAACGTTGATTCATGTGGTAAATTATTAGTTTATGAGGTTAGGCTGCCTTCATACTTTGCAGCGTCCACCAGCAATCACCAGGGTTTTGAGCTTCCCTCAGCACCAGCGACTAGGAAGGCTGGAGAGAACTTAGGCTGGTGCAGGTTTTCGTTCAGGTAGCGAGCACATTCGAGGAGATGCCATCGCCTTCTTGTTCTCTATCCAGCCCTCTTACTCCGGTCAGAACTTTTTATACCCATCCTGAAAGTGTTACGAAAAACAGTTCTAATCTCTTAACAGTTGAACAAATGTACATTTTCGTTCGTTGCAAATGAAAGGGTGTGTCAGGCGTGTCGAGATAGGAGCGCGCCAAACTCGTTTTCCATCCAGGCGACAGCAGTTGGAAGCGGTTCTTGAAAGCAATGACACGAATAGCCATTGAGCTGGGAGGGTAAGAGTGGCCCCGGTAGCGTAATAGGGAACGCAACCGCACGGAAAGCGGAAGATGCGGGTTCGAATCCCGCCCGTGGTCCGACTTTTGCCCACAACTCAGCACTCTTGTGATAACTTTCGGATCGCGCACTGCGGCGTTAAAGAGCAGTTATTCAAACGATAACAGACTGGTACAAACGATATGGCACAGTCTTGTCCTTTGTTCGGGTAACAAGTGTCCGAAAACGGGTTTGGTATTGTGCTAGACCCCTTCCCACTTGACACGCCCGTTCATCCGCAGCGAAAAATATTACAAGATGTGCCAACTTACTGGGGGTTTACTATTTTAGAGAAACACTGCTGATGAACATAGTCCACCCACGTCCTCTACGAAAAAGCGGGATAAGGTCTCTCTGAAGAAGCAACAGATCCTTAATGATTTGAAAGCGCAAAAACGTAGGCAATCGAAGGTTAGTTAGAGGTTATTATTGGTCATTGCAAGGTGAGATATTTTTCGCCTTCGGAGTCCGATAAAGTTTTCTTGAACGTTCTTTTCCAGAAAGATTTGCTAAGTGTCCATCCGACTTTAGTTTTTCATGGTTTGAGCGTTTCAGCGTTCACCTCCATCAGAAAGCGTCAGCGGTTTTCTTATCAGTCGTAGACATCGTTAGAATTGCCTTACAAACAGGCAGGAGATTGAAATGCTTATCAACTTCTCGCTCGCAAAGTAGCGTTTATTGACTGAACAGATTTCTGAATCTTTCAGCGCGGCAGTTCTACCAATTGAACCTATTTCAGCCACAACTTCAGCCGCAGCGTGTACGTACCACAAAGAGGAATGCAGCATCCAAAGAAAGTCTGTCGATATTTTCGTGAAAAAAGGAATTCTTCGCTTTCGTTACTACGTTTCAGATGTGGATACACCTTCCAATACATCGCCTGTAACTCAAAGCGCTGAATTAGAAGAACAACGGATCCAGCGGATGATTAACTCCAAAATTGTAGGCATTGATTCTTCCAAGAACAATATGAGGCGTTGTGACAATGGGCGGTCCAACTGAGCGAAAAATATCGTCCGAAGTTGCTCTTTTGACATGCTCTTAAAGTCTTGGGAAAAGGGGTTTATCAAGCAATGGTGAAACGGCAATTATACCATCAGATAGCGCAAAAAATTCTCTTCAGGATGTACTACTGAGACGCAAGGGAGAATGAGTTTTTAATCAGCAATGAATGTACAAAAAATAGTAACACAAAACGCTGAGAACTTTCCGGACAACCTAATAGAACTTTCGGCACCTGTAGCCCCCTTCTCACTCGCTGTAGGGTCGCGAAAATGAGGCGGTCTCTTAGCTTTGGGTTTGACTACTTGCACAAAGAAAGACGACCACGAGTTTCTCGAGCGCGAGGTATGCCTCAAAGCGACCCACGGCTTGCAAGGCGCATGTGTTGGGATGAGCTAGGAGTTGACCCTCGGTAGGCGAAAGCGCTTGTCACGTGCGCTCAGATACCAATCCTACTTCTACAGTAAAATGTTTCGAGGTTCCAAGACGCAGCATGGTCGGCTTGTTACCAGGACCAATTTCTTACAAATCTTTCCAAGAATGTCGTGAAGAGATGTATAGAGAAGCCTTATCTATGTACACTCCTAGACGTCTCTCATTCGATCCAGAAGTAAGAGAAAGCGCTTGAATCAGTTGTGTACAAGACTTTAGCGGTACATTTGTTCTTATAGAGAAATTTTTCAAGGAAATCATAACTTCGGTGAGAACTGGTGACCTTAAAAGGTTCCGAAGAGCAACTGAACATTTTTGTGCTTTGAATGACCGAACTGACTATGGTGGCATGATTTACTCGGTGATTTCCAAATGGCGAGATGACAATGGAGGAACGTTGATTCATGTGGTAAATTATTAGTTTATGAGGTTAGGCTGCCTTCATACTTTGCGGCAGCGTCCACCAGCAATCACCAGGGTTTCGAGCTTCCCTCAGCACCAGCGACTAGGAAGGTGTAGATATCGAACGAGCTTGTGACTAGGAAATTATGGATATCGATTTAGAAACGCCAGCCATTAGTGGAGAGCATGGGGAAGTAAGAGAGAGCAGACTGCTGGGTTAGGCGTCGTGAAATTGTGGCGGGTGCAATCGTACAGTACTGCTGCATAATACCGTACATTAAACGGCATAATTCTGTGTTCTGGCAGTGTACGCTGCGTGCACAAATTGCCGCAATTTTGCGACGCCTAATCCAGCTGTTTGCTCCATCCTACTTCCTTATACTGCTTGCTGATTCCATGTGGGCAGCCGGTGTACCCGTGTTTTGGAGTTTCAGAAAGTATATGACCCCCACCCTGAGAGAAGGGTATCCTAACCGGCTGA